AACAAAAAATACAGCTCGTTTATATTGCCAATTGAATAATTAATTAATTAGTTAATTGGTTAGTTTATAAGATAATTAGTTAGTTAATTAATTAAATAATTAGTTAATTGATTAATAAAAGGATGAAAATTATGAGAGAGATTTGACGCCACGGTACGTCAAAGACCCGCACTTCATTGTTGAATACGACGCCGAAGGTCTGTTGCAATATTTTAGCCTCCTCTATAATCTCTGTGTATACATTCTCAACTTTTAAACTTGTCTCACCAATCTTCTAACTGAGTTACTTTACTCTATAACTTTTTCAAAAAGTGCCTTCATTTAATGTTTGTTTGTTTTCATCCCATGAATGCAGAATGAATTGTATTTAACACCGTAATCAACTCTCTCTTTCAATTAATTCCCAGGCATATCAACAACAACACACAAGCATATCGTCTGTGTTAACTAATTAATCAATTAATTAATTCATTCATTTATTTATTGACTCATTCATTCGTTCGTTCGTTCGTTCGTTCATTCATTCATCCATTCATTCATTCATCCATTCATTCATTCATTCATCCATTCATTCATTCATCCATCCATCTATCCATCCATCCATCCATCCATTCACTCATTCATTCACTCATCGACTCAGGCACCCTTATCGTAGCTTCAGAAACCACAACGACTGTCAAGGGTTATACCGGTACGGAGTCGACCGAAGAGTATGATGGCTCGCCTCCACAAATCATCACCCTGCCGTATTTTCTCACGTGTTTCAACTCCGACAGATGCTACATTCCATACCACTTGTTGAATATTTCTCTCTGCACTATTGTCTCCATTGTTTTAGTTCGATGTATATTTAAATTTAGGTGATTATAAAATGTGAAATAGTAAAATGTGAAATAATTTTTTTAGGCTTGTTTTTGTTCACTGTAGAAGTAATTTTTCACAAAAGTAAATGTCTAAAATTACTAATACTACCGCTACTACTACTACTACTACTACCGCTACTACTACTACTACTGCTGCTACTACTACTACTACTGCTGTTACTACTACTACTACTGCTGCTACCACTACTACTACTACTGCTACTGCTAGTACTACTACAAAACGTTACTGCTGCTGCTACTGACGCTACTACAACAACTTCTGGTTACTACAGCCACAGCTGAAATATATATATATATATATATTGGAGAAAAAGATAATTACGTCACCTTTCTGGAAGGCCCTACGTGTACCTACGCTCATAAAATTATTGATGGAGATGGTGGATGCCATATATGTATGTATGTTTGTTTGTTTGTATGTATGTATGTATGTATGTATGTATGTATGTATGTATGTATGTATGTATGTATGTATGTATGTATGTATGTATGTATGTGTGTATGTATGTATGTATGTATGTATTTATGTATGTATGTATGTATGTATGTATGTATGTATGTATGTATGTATGTATGTATGTATGTATGTATGTATGTATGTATGTATGTATGTATGTATGTATGTGTGTATGTATGTATGTATGTATGTATTTATGTATATAAGCGTACAGCTAAAACGCATCCATTCCTATGCGTTATTTTTCGCGTACAGCATAAGCCCACACGAATATACACGTAGAATTTGCTCAATTGTACACAGTGAGAGAGAGAGAGAGAGAGGAGAGAAAGAGAGAAATAAATAAATAAAGAAATTATTTGTTTACAATATATTTACAAATATTTACATATACACTTACATATGAAACAGTTAACAAAAACGTTCTTATAATAAACATTGTTCTGTGTACAAGCAATAAAGATGATGGATATATCACATATTAGTTCTTTCATACTCACATACATACATACATACATACATACATACATACATACATACATACATACATACATACATACATACATACATACATACATACATACATACATACATACATACATACATACATACATACATACATACATACATACATACATACATACATACATACATACATACATACATACATACATACATACATACATACATACATACATACATACATACATACATACATACATACATACATACATACATACATACATACATACAAGATAAAGCCCCCCTCGGGTAAAGCCAGGTTGATGGCCGTTAGAAGTGAATTGGGGTCTGCTTGGCTAAGGGCCATTTCCAGTACAACTTGCGGCACAAGGCTTGACAATGGTTCTGTTAGAGTGAATTTATGCTTGAGACTTGGGTTGCCGGTGGTGTCAGGTTACAAATGCTTGTGTGGGGCGGATGTTTCTCAGTTGGGTCACCATGGTTTATCGTGTATGCTTGGTTCAGGAAGACAAGCAAGACACTCTGCCATGAATAATTATATACGCAGATTGTTCCAAAAAGCAGATATACCTGCCATTAAAGAACCAGCAGGCCTACTATCTGAAAGTAATTTCAGGCCAGACGGTTACACTCTGGTACCGTGTTCCCAAAGTTGCTGTTTATCACGGGATGTGACGTTCCTCACACGTTAGCCGAAAGGTACATCAATTACACGGCTATGGAGCAAGGTTCCGCTGCGGTGAAGGCTGCTGATTTCAAGAATACTAAGTACAAACATCTAAACGACAATACGAGAGTTTTTGTTCCGATCTGTGTGGAGACATTTGGCCCAGTGGATAAGCAGACACAATTATTTTTTGATAACATTGGTACTAAAATAGTTGAAAAATCCGGTGATCCCAATGATAAAATTTATATAAAGCAAAATATATCGTTGTTGTTGCAAAAGTTTAATTCATTTTGTATTTTAGAGAACATTGCTAAGTGTCCTTCTGTGCGAGACCCTGTACACTAATATTATCTGTTGAGCAGGGGCGAAATGATAGTTTTTAGGGCTATTGTTTTTAACCAAGGGCTCGCACATACATACATACATACGAAACGAAACGAAATTTTATTTGCTCCATAAAATTAAAAAAGAATTTAATGATAAGAAGCGGGCTGACCATGATAGAATTTTTATTGGAATTCATCGAGCATGGCCACCGTAACAGAAAATACAAATTATGTTTCTAGTGTTCTATATAAATTATACACCTTTGAATGTAATGGTCCTTGAATAATTCACAATTAAAAACCAACACATACATTTATGTGTGTTTCCAATAAAAAAATAAAAAGTTCTTGTGCATATTTTCATTACAAAAACCATTTTTCATAATATAATTCTATACTCTTGGACCTTTACATATAATATCTGAAAAGAGTATATTCGTTTTTGATTTATTAGCTAAAATGTTATTTAATCGTCTATTGTTAGTATTGAAATAGTTATTGAAAATATGCGGAAGCTTATTAGTTAGCTGCCTATACACAAAAACGGCGATGCATTACAAGTTCAATTTATTGAAATCTAAATTGTTGTTGTGAATAGTTGATGAGTGTGGGCTTGTTTTCTTGACAACGTGATGATCCTGATTGCCCTTTTCATCAGTATCATGATAGGATGGGTGGTTGATTGGTATGCACTGGCCCAAACTACATTGCAGTACGTACATACATACATACATACATACATACATGTGCAATTAACGACAAATCAAAGTGTTAATCCATTTGTTACTTGATGTTTGACGGTTCAGTGTCACTCATCATGTTTTGGTTTTAACATACATACATACATACATACATACATGCATACATACATACATACATACATACATACATACATACATACATACATACATACATACATACATACATACATACATACATACATACATACATACACAAAAAGCAAATATACTCACGCATACACATACACGTACACCAATACAAACACATACACACATGCATGACACACAACACGTATATAAGCTGAGCAATGGACAAAGCCTTTTGCTTTAGAAGCAAGTAAGCCTCGTGCAAATGAATACATGCACGTACATCCATCCTTACACGCGAATATATAAATACATACATCCATACATCCATCCATACATACATACATACATACATACATACATACATACATACATACATACATACATACATACATACATACATACATACATACATACATACATACATACATACATACATACGTACATACGTACATACATACATACATACATACATACATACATACATACATACATACATACATACATACATACATACATACATACATACATACATACTTACATACATACGTATATAGACAATCACGTGTTCCTCATTCTCTGGTGGAAAAATTGAAACATATGGAAGAAAATAGGCTCGAAGCATGCCTGCGTGGAAATGTTTTAAAATTTTTGATTAAATGTAATCTAAATTAATTATTTAATTGAGTAATAAATTTGTTTTGCTGGTCTGCGGATTTCTACAATTTAGAATCTATATACAATAAATTTAATTAAACGTCCATCTGTTTGTTTGTTTGTTTGCTTGCTTGCCTATTAGTTTGTATTTATGTATAAATACAAACGTATGCGTGTGTATGCATTTGTATATGTGTATATGGTTATGAATATTTGAATGTATGTCTGCATGGTCTTATAAATATTTGTACATATGTCTCTACATGTTTGAGAATGTACGTTTTATCAATTCGCAATTGTATATTTTTAAAATGTTAAGTGGCGAATTATGAATTATATATATATATATATATTTAAATATATATATTAACTGATTAATTATTCAATTAACTAATTAGCTAAATAACATTGAATGTTAGTAGGTAGAAGTTATTCGGTTTGAACAATAATTATTAATTTTAATTAATTAATTAAAATATTATTAATAATTATCTATAAATAGATAGACAAAAATAACTTATTTTAATTAATGGTGTAAAAGAACTAAAGCAAAAAAGTTTACAATTATATATATATATACATACATTCATTCATACATACATACATACATAAAAATATACATAAATACATACATACATACAAACATACTTACATACAAACATACATACATACAAACAAAATATATATATAGAGAGGTTAGATTCATTCGTTCATCTGTCTGTTTAATTATTTTGAAATTAATAGTGAAAATATTTAATAATATTTTGAAGATTGTAATGCTCTTTCGTTCTTTTATTCATTCACTAACTCCTTAATTCATCTGTTTATCCATTCATCTATTATTTGTTCGTTCATTCATTCATTCATTTATTCATTCATTCATTCATTCATTCATTCATTCATTCATTCATTCATTCATTCATTCATTCATTCATTCATTCATTCATTCATTCATTCATTCATTCATTCATTCATTCATTCATTCATTCATTCATTCATTCATTCATTCATTCATTCATTCATTCATTCATTCATTCATTCATTCATTCATTCATTCATTCATTCATTCATTCATTCATTCATTCATTCATTCATTCATTCATTCATTCATTCATTCATTCATTCATTCATTCATTCATTCATTCATTCATTCATTCATTCATTCATTCATTCATTCATTCATTCATTCATTCATTCATTCATTCATTCATTCATTCATTCATTCATTCATTCATTCATTCATTCGTACATACATCTATTCGGAATATTAATTTTACATGCAAGCATATTGACGAGCTGCAGTGTGAATTAATTCTGTAGGAACATATGGAACTTTATTCAATAACAATTGCGTGTTTTTCTCTTGTCGTCGTCACTGTCATCACTATCATCATCATCATCATCATCATCATTATCATCATCATCATCATCATCATCATCTTCATCATCATCATCTTCATCATCATCTTCATCACTATCATCTTCATCATCATCTTCTTCTTCATCATCATCTTCATCATCATCATCTTCATCACCATCATCTTCATCATCATCATCTTCATCATCATCATCTTCATCATCATCATCTTCATCATCATCTTCATCACCACCATCTTCATCATCATCATCTTCATCATCATCATCTTCTTCATCATCATCATCCTCATCATCATCACTATCTTCATCATCACCATTATCATCATTATTATCCTATTGGTCATCACCACCATTATCATCTTCCATCTAATCACAGCCATTAATCGTCGTTGTTGTTACTATTGCAGATTCTTTTACTCATCTTCATCTTGGTCAGGGGCTGAAGCAAAGATGAACTCCTACTCAAACCACCCATCGTCAACACTCTCAAGTCATCACACGTCATCATCGACGATGACGTCATCCTCCTCGGCCACAGCAGCCACAACACACGACCAGCAGCAGCAGCAGCAGCGACGACATAAAGATGCCGCCGATCAAAATTTCGATTACATGTTCAAGTTGTTGATTATTGGTTGGTTGGCCGGTCAATTGATTGGTTGGTTGGATGGCTGGTTGGTTAGTTGGTTGGCTGGTTGGTTGATTAATTGGTTGGATGTTTAGTTGAATAATTGTCTGACCAACCGACTGACCGATTAATCATTGCCGACTAATTAGGCGCCTATAATAAAAGCAAGTAAGAATAACACAATTAATAACAACAACAACTACTACTACTACCACTACTACTACTTCTACTTCTACTAACATCATCAACAACAACAATAATAGTAATAATAACAACAACACCGCTATCATCATCATCATCATCATCATCATCATCATCATCATCATCATCATCATGAAGGAAACAGCAGCGTCGGAAAGACCTCTTTCCTGTTCCGGTATGCCGACAATTCCTTTACCTCTGCGTTCGTCAGCACAGTTGGCATCGACTTCAAGGTCAAGACTGTCTTCAGGCAAGAGAAAAGGGTCAAGCTGCAAATCTGGGTCAGTTCATGATGATGATGATGATGATGATGGTGGTGGTGGTGGTGATGATGATGATGATGTTTGTGATAGTGACGATGAGGATGACGGCGATAAGGGTGATGGTGATGATGATGGTGATGAAGATACTGGTGGTGATGATGAAGATTTGGTTAGAATAATAGTGATGATTGCTGTAATAATTATATTGTGACCT